CTGCCATGGCGGCGACGGGGCTGGGCGGGGCTGGGCGGCGGCGCTCGGGAGAGGCAGGGAGAGGGAGGGGCTCGACGGCGGCGGGGGCGGGGCTGGTGTGGGCACAGGCGAGTGCAGGGCGCCGGCTTTTATAGCCGGGCTGCACCCGTGTGTACGCGTGCGAGGGAGGAGAGGCGTCGGCGCGCCGCCCCGTGAAGCGCCGCCCGTGAGGAATCAATGGCAAGGCTGACCGGCGGCAGCCTTGCCATTGATTCCCCGCAGGAACCGAGGCCGTTGGGGGAAGACGAGGCGCCGAGTCACTGACGCGGCTGGCCCGCGTCTTTTTCGCGCCAAAACAGCTCGCCCCGGCGCCCCCGGGCGCCCCCCAGCGCACCGGGTTCGGGCTGGGTCTGCCGGCGCTGTTTTCGGCCCAAGCCGGCGAAAATCGGGCTCCTGGGGGCGCGACTGGGCCGTTTTTTCGGCGCCGGCGCGAAAAAATCGCCTGGGGAGGCCTTCCTGGGGGCGCGGCTGGAGATGCCCTTATGCAGTATAGAATGGATTATTACTTTTTATCCAACATTTGTTTTTATTTGAAAAATTGGTCGATTGATTGTAGTGTAGATCTATATATACTACAATGGATTGTAGAAAAAAGGCTCAAAATTCTGACAAAAAAAAAAATACCGCAGTAGGTTTTCTATTTGGAGAACATACATGACTGTTGTAGATATGACTGATAACAAGTTCAGTGTTCTGGATAGTACAGATCTGGCCTATACAAGAGTAGGATCTATCTCAATTATGTCATGCATGGTGGTCATATTGGCGCACAACTTTCCTGTCTCGCATGATTGCTGTTCTGAAATGTGCATCATATTATGTGATCTTACTTTTTTAGGAGATGTAGATGTTTCCTGCATTTGCAGTGCTCTAACTTGTAGACTTGAAAAAATCTAGCTACAGTTGGAGATGTCAAATCAGGATCGCATTGGTTGAATTGAAACTTCAATTTGGCATCGTAGTAGACATTCTTTGGACTGTAGCGCAACTGACGACATTTATTTTGCAGTAAACAAGAACTGTTTAGTGGTAGATTCGGTTCATTGATGTAATATTAAAATAAGATGCTAATTCATCGTCTGTTGAGAAACTGCAATCACATTTCTAACGTCATGTGCAATAATTCAAGGGAAGTTCACTTTAATTTTATTTTGTTGGTAAACAGTCTTGAGCACATTGTATGCCGATAACTACGCGTGATCTTTTCTTGTCGGTAATAATTGGCTACTGGAGGGATTATATATTTATGAACCTGTTGTCTGTTAACGTTTGTCTAGATACGTAGCACCGTCTACAAAATAGATCAACAGGGTAGCAAGAGAAGATTCCATGCATGTGAGGTTTCTTATCTAACATCTGCTAGTCTCTGCTAGAATCTAGGTGTAACTGGGAAGTATACAAACTCTAGGATCATCTTGATAATGTATTTTTATTTCGCTTCTGTACAGAATACGAGTTTGGGCTACAGATGTCAATGTCAAACAAAAGGTGGCTTTGTTGCATAAAACCGGGCTGTCAGTCTAACGGATCCAAAAGATGTATTATATGGTTCTTTGACTCTTGATTTGTTATAGATGGAGGCATGCTTAGAGAATAAAAAAGTACAAGCTAGTACATACTTTATGGTCATGAATGCAATCAAGTATTTGCTCAACTTGGCTAACCTGAAACCATTAAAGTAAGCTGAAGCTCCATGACCTAAGCATGCATGGTTAAAACTGCAAAGTAAAAACATTAGACCAGAATAAAGCCACATCTTCGGTGACAGCTATGTAACCGCGACTTCTCCCTAAGCAACAACTACTGATTATATATTGCAGATGGTATCAACTTCTTTATAGCAGCAGCTGCGACCTCCGAGCTCATGTTTTAGTTGAAAGGGATAGAAAGAGGGGAGCCAAGTTTAGGGGACAGGGTGGGCCTTTGTTTAGAAGTTGGAGAAAGACTTTGGAAAGAAGGGGAGATAAGAAGGGAATTTCGGGTGAAAGAAGCTTTCGCGGATGGTGGAGGCGAGATTATGTTGGAGAAAAGATGCAGAATTCCTAGCTTTCTCTGGGGTTAGTAGGATTTGGAGAGATTTCTTTCCAACCTGGTTGAAGAGAAAGTCCAACTGAAAAGCTCTGCTGATTTGAACTCATGTAGACGACGCAGGAGGTGCGGGGCTCGATATATGCTAGTGCGCAACTAGTTTAGCGCTGTGAAAACGCGCGGAAGAGAAGGGTGGGCGATCTTCGCGCACTAGTTCGTGGTTATTACAGTAAAGATTTCTAAAGGCATAGCATACCTGATCTTTTTGGACTGAATATGCCTGCATCATGGTGCCTTGCCCCTTTTGGTCCCAAGTCAAGCATGATAGTACATGATAATTGGTTTCAAATAGCTGATGTCCCTTTATCTGTCATTCACTGATCCCATCTCCTTTGCTGATTAATCCCAGTTATGTTAGCAGTGCAACAAGTGGAACCCTTTTTCACTTGAGTAGACTTACAATAATTGTAGCAGAATACCGATGTTTCATCACTTAAAATGATGTGAAAACGTTGGGCAAAAAGCTGGCTGATTAGCAAGGTTTGGTGAGACATGTTTTTCGTTTGCTTAACGTCAGTGTGTTTTTCTCTGGGCAAAGACATTCTTCTGCCTTTGGGTTTGTGTGTGGACCATGCATGGGGCTTAAACTTCAGCGGACAGGACAGATATATTTCAAACGATCTTAAACATAATTAGCTCAATTATTACTCTTAACCTTTTCTGCGACATTTTGATGTGATGGGGAGTGATGTGTTCCTTGTTTGTTGCAAGGAAATCCGGAGGGCATTTCCAGTTAACCAAAATGTTAGATATGCTATTTCCAGGTTTATCCAACCCTGACACCAACGGTGCATGGGTAAATGGTCGATAGCTGATCCTTTTCAAGGCCATGTAAGGTGAAACAAGCCCAGCCTGATTACATCATCGCCCATGCATGCTCTGCTGTGTTTTCTTTTGGCTCATGATTGCTTTTACGAATGAAAACATTCTATGCATGCTTTTGTATTACTATATGTGTTTTGCAGTTCTATAAATAGTTATTACTAGTGCATTTTTGGGATGATTATTACTTCCACTACGGAGGGGTGGTAGCAACACTATTAGGATTGTACTCCTAATAGATTATCTACTAACATTATCTACTATTAGGATTGTACTCCTACGGAGGAGTAGATTGTTTACTAACATTATCTTCTTGGATCCCCTTGAAAAACAGCGCCTTTTTCCGTCCGAGTAAAAGTATCTTAGCTCCCATGCATGAACTGTTGTAGATCGATCGGTTATGCGCTCGAGGACCATTCTATAGTCTATCCTTGCTGCCTTTTCCGTACACGACCGAGAATATATATACACACACATACCGATTTATTTGTTGCAACATATCTAGCGATATACTATTTGCATGTACCAGAAGCATGTTCTAGTATACAATTATATATATATATTTTGTGTGTGTGTGTGGCAAAGACATAATAATGGTCCAGGGCGATGGATGGGATGGGACTCATCAAAAGCGAGGATTCTTTGCCGAGGTCATCCACCATCATGACAGGAAAGCTGGCCACACAAGGGAACAAAAACGGGCACATACCTAGGCGCCTACGTACGTATACATACATTCCAAAACACACTCTTTTGGATACATTATACACTCCAAAGGGAGGAGAATTTCCTGGCTAGCTAGCTCTGCATGTAGTGCACTGACTGGTCCAGCTCGATCCCACATGCACGAGCTTCCCAACTTTAGTTTGTACTCCACTCCACACACACACACAGAGGCAGACACAATAACTTAATCACGGCCATGCTGGCTAATTAAGTGTGGCACCCACTTACGTTAGCCCCTGCACATGGTCCCTCTGTTATCTCTTCCTACATTACACATCGATGAGGGGGCCATAATACACTACAAGATATTTTTAGTTGTTTCCATGCATGCATATAGCAACAAGGAACCATCCACTTATTGTATTGTGTTGCCTCGCCTCCACACAACACCGGGGCGTTGCAAGTGTAAACTATTGCATTACGTACATGTAAATTAAACTAGTAGACGATTGAGCATCCTTCCTTCCTTCCTTCCTTCCTGCTCCATGAGACTGGTCGATGACCACTATAGTCTAGAATGGCGCCCCTAGTACGTATTAGTGGCCACTTGGTTCTGGCTATGGCTAGTGACACATTAGTATGATTAAACAATATCTTATCTTAGCCAGATATAGGTATAGCTAGGTAGTGTATATAGTACTCTGATCATCTAGCTATAGCTAGCTAGCTAGCTGAATAATAATGTTTTGATCGGCTAGCTACGCGCATAATATATCTCGGCCGGGGTCCTATCATGCGTGTGTGTGTGTGTGTGTCGACGATGGTAATAAACCAAGCATGAGTCGCCCTGTCCAGTCCAGTCCAGGCGCGTAGTACGTGCATAAAATAGTGCAAGTGCAAGATATGGAGCCCGGCCGGCGGCCGAAGCGCAATCTAGAACTCAACAACGCTGTCTCTTGTGCTCCTGTT